TAGTAGTAGTAGTAGTAGTAGTAGTAGTAGTAGTAGTAGAAGAAGAAGAAGATGATGAACAGGAGCGAACGTCGAGTAACGCTAGGGGCGTTTTGACGCAGGAATGTTGATTCCATCAGCGACTGTAAATATCCGCTATTTGTTTCGTATCTCTCCACTGGGCTTTTGAGTCGGAAGCTCAGACCAGTTAGTTCCAACGCAGTATACTTTAGTAAATAAGTTTGATTTCTTGTATTGTTGCCTAGATTGCAATGGGAATCAGTGGGTTTACGCAACTGGTCGCAATGTGTTGGTATGGTGCGCCAATGAGTGCTCGCAGACTGTCTTGGTGACGGCACTGATGACGATGAGCGCTCGTTGACCCACGGAGAGGACTCAACGGATGATGGCGAACGCGTGGGGACTATCAGCAAGGATTCATCAGGTGATGGCGAGGAGTATCCAACGGTGGCAGGACGCGGCACGTTCCAATCAGCACTGTGAGTGGACAAGTATAATGAGAGCAAGTGATGGAGACGTCGGGAGTAAGCAGTTTGATAATAAGGAACAAGAAGATACTGACCAATCGAGTGACAGTAAGGTGAGCTCGAGATTGTTGGGGGAAGATAGATAACTGAAATACACTCACTTTGGCATTTGCCTTCTTCTACTCACATCAAAACCAACAGGTTAACAGCCGAAAGACTCAAGCACCTCGACCGCCAAGAAGGCCGAAGCCATCCTTGGAAGCGACAACAACTTCCATTGGGAGTTCGCTATGCGCATGACGCTAGCGAGGAAGGGGCTACCGGCACACGTTCAAGTCGTGAGAGACCCTGCCGAGGTGACCGAGGCCTGGATGCTGAACGACATGAAGGCGCTCGGTTTGATCGCTCAAGGTGTGGCAGTGGAACACCACACGATGATTCGGTCAACAACGGCGGTCATGCAGGCCTGGGCCACGTTGCGCGACTTCTACAACCGGACGACCATGCACAACCGGGTTACGATGAGTCGTCGCCTCCACGAATTCAAGATGGAGGAGGGCTCGACGATTGCTCAGTACCTCGACAGGTTTGACGAGCTCATCGTGGCTCTGCAAACGCTCGGTGAATCTCTCGACGAGAGCCGACAACTCGTCATTTTGATCAGCAGCCTGCCTGTTTAGTACGAATTGATCGCGTCAATCGTCGAGAACAGCAGGGAAGTGACCCTGACTGAGGTGTAGGAAAAGTTGCTCAAGGAATACGAGAGAGAAGAAGGAGTCAACTGAGCGCGCACTGAAGGCCTCGTTCCGAGGGAGAGGCAATAACGGAAGTTTTGGCAGCCGCGGGTGAGGACTCGGCGGCTGCAGGAGCAACCGTAGTCGAGGACTCGGCAGCTTCAAGGGCAAGCGCTTCAACTGTGGCCGAGTGAGTCACATGTAGCGGGACTGTCCTGATGGGACCCACGGTGACATCAACGAGGACGCGGTGTTCGCTGTGGGGAAGAATCGGTCGGCAGGGTGGCTGGTCGACAGTGGAGCGACTGCTCACATGACGCCATACCGGAATGACATGTACGAGTATCAGGACGTGTCGGCGGGCATGTATGTTACCGTCGCTGACGGTAAGAAGATCAAGGAAACTTGTAACGGGGTTACACGCAAGTGGCTACATGTTGCCACTTGATTACGACAATGGGTTTCACATTGGTGTGAGATACACCATTGGTTACATTTGACAGATCACTGGTCTGTGTGCATTTAGACTTCCTATTCATCTCTTTCAACCAATTAGCTTAACAGGATTCTGCCAACAACGCGTTGGCAAATACCTTTCATTCAGAATATCACTGTAGGAGGAAACCCAAACCCAAAACATAAACATAAATAACAGTTGTCAATTTTACAGTAAATCGGCTTTTGCTTTCTTATTTAAGTAAATCTATACTTA